GGAGGAACCAAGGGACCCTGAGTGAGCTGGACTGGGGAGACTGGGGGGCAGCACAGCACAGCAGGCAACAGCCAGGCTCCGGAGCCTCCCGCCTGGGTACACATCCCAGCTTTGCCACTTACTAGCTGTGTGACCTTGGGCAACTCACTTCACCTCTCTGTGCCTCTGTTTACTCATCTGGGAATGAGAGCAACCAGGGCACCCACCTCATAGGGCTATATGCGGATGAAAGGAAGTAATACTTGTCAGGCCAGCCACAGTGGCTCACGCCTGCAATCCCAGCCCTTTGGGAGGCCCAGCACTTTGGGAAGCAAATAGCTTGAGCCCAGGAATTTGAGACCATCCTGGGCAACATAGTGAAACCTTGTCTATACAAAAAAAATACAAAAATCAGCCCGGTATGGTGGCGTACACCTGTGGTCCCAGCTACTCAGGAGGCTAAGGCAGGAGGATGGCCTGAGCCCAGGAGGTGGAGGCTGCAATAAGCTGTGCTCACAATACCACACTCCAGCCTGAGCGACAGAACAAGACCAGAAAAAAAAAAAAAAAAAAAAAAAAAACATGTCGAGGAGTTAGAGCAATGCCTTCCATTGTGCAAATATTTGCCCAACAAATCTCCCAACATGAAACCCATCGACTATGACACTAACATACTCCCAAGCACCAAAAACCTCCTGGTTGGGAACATCACAGGGGTCCTCATACTTGTGACACTGTAGCAGCATAATTTAGGGGACTGAGCAGAAGAGCTGGGGTTCTCTGTTCAAAAGAAAGGAAGACCAGACAGGTACAGGGAAGGCTAGCTGGAGACTTGACTCTGAGTGACAGGAAGGCGGTGCCGTGCCCCACATCTAATGATGACTCGGATGCTGGGTGCAGGATGAACTGGGGAGTGGGGGTGATGGCAGAGGCGGACGGATGGCTGCAGAAGTCCGTGGGAGACATGGATGGCTGTGGGTGGCTCAGCCCGGGGTGGCAGCCGCACCGAGATGGTGCTCCCCACTCCCTGCCCTACATCACCAAATCCTTGCACCTCCAGTGGGTGCTAGCTGCTCTGATCCCCACCTACACAGTAGCCCTGGGAGGTTCCTGCCTGAAACCACGCTGCTTGTAAGAGGCTGTAGAACTTCCACCAGTTCTACAGGGGATAGGGTGTTTTCGAGTCTGAAGGAAACATGCTTCTTTCTGCCCCAGCATCTCTGGGACTGCAGGAGGGGTCACCGCAGTGTGGGGCATGTTGGCTCCCAGCCTGGGTTCCGCATGGGTCTTCTGGCTTCACACCCACCCCGTCGTCACCCAGCCCTGGGACTGGTCTCTCCCTTCTCTCTCTAATCTCACCCCCCTCCTGCCAGCCTGGCAAGTCCCCCAAGACCCCTCCACCTCCCCCCAGTCTTCCCGAGCCACCCTTTTCCTGCGGCTCAAAAGCATACAGGATGAAGTCCAACGCGTGTGGACGTCGCCTGTCCTCCCAGCTGGCACAAGCCCCCCCACCTGCCCCGCCGTCGCCCCCACCCTAGACCTTCATTCTCCCCTCCTCCAGGCCTCTCCTCAGCCACCCCCACCACACCCACCAGAACGATGCTTGCGTCTGCTCCCTACCCAACCCCTCCCCAGCATCTCAACCAGAAGAGAAATCCAATTTGTGTGAAGGGCTTGGGGTAACTCTGTGTCGAGGCCACGCTTCCCTTTCTGTTTGTGGAAGGACACGGGTGCTCTTCTTGGAGCAAGGAGAAAAGGTTTCTTTGTGCAGGGTCTGGTGAAAGTATGTCTGTTTAGGGCAGGCTGCAGTTTTCTCGGTGAACGCTGTAGACTTTTAGTGTGGGAAAAGGGCTTATTACGTTTCCCTGTGGCTGCCCGAGTGGGGAGAGGTTTTTCTGAGCCTAGAAAGGAATGACCAAACAGGCGAACAGGCGTTGGAGAGGAGGGAACATTTAGCAGCTCCTTCTCACGGAGCGGTGAGGATCTCCTGGTTGGTGTTTGCATTTGGGTGCACGTGAAACACACAGAAGGAAAGAAAGCTTTGCTGTAGTGTCATGGAAGGGAGGGAAGTTTAGCCTTGATGTATGGGGGTTGGGATGGCGGGATTTTGTTCAGGGGACTATTGGGGTGTTGTTTTTTTTTTTTTTTTTTTTTTTGCTCTTCGAGTAAAAAAATAAAATAGTCACAGAACCCAGAAGAAAGGTTGTCATGGCAACAAAAGTTTGAGGCCAGGTACTTATCACCCTTTCAAGACCACAGTGGTGGAGAAGGCAGGATTTTGGCACTATAGGATCAGCTGCAGAAACAACCCCAGCTGGCTCCGATTCCCAAATTTCTCACCAGCACTGACAAGCTGATAACTATTTTCCAAGCTCTCAGAGAGGAAAATTGTGATTTCAGGGGAGGGATGATCTCCAGCCCACAGTGACCAAGAGGAAACTGTGGGTTTCTTTTATTTACCCAACAAATTAACCATCCGCATTTCTAACTCACAGAGTATTGGGAGTGAGGGTCTTAACTGAGCCCCCCAAAATGCCAACTTCCCTGACCCCTCAACTATACTATTCTCTTCCCCGATTCCTTCACTCTGATTTCTTTCTGTTCCCAAGAAGACAATTTGAGCTCCCTTCCCAGAATCCCCTGTGAGCCTTAAGTTTCTCATCTGAAAAAGCAAGTGCCCTAGAAGTGTCTGCCTCAAAGGTGGCAGCCAGGATTCAACAAGATTCAGGAGATGAGAAGTTTCAGCAGGACCTGGTGCACGTTCAAGGCTCAATAAATGTTAGCTAACATTGTTTTTAAAATAATTTTCAATTAATCATCTTTTGAAATACTTAAATATCCCAAGTCAAGCCCTGAATGAACTACAGGGAAATAACTGTAGCAAGTACTGGGACCGTGACCTTCAGGGAGCAGCCAAGAGAGACTCCAAACAATTAAGAGGCTCAGCTGACCAGCTTGGACCAGGACACTCCACAGAGGTAGAGACAGGGCCACTCCCGTGCCAGAGATGCACCATTGTATTTTCAGGTGTGTGCACAGAGGTGGTATGTCCCCAGGGCTGGGTCTCCTGAACCTTGGAAACACCTTCTTGAACTTGGAGAAAGATGTACAGTAGCAAGATGTCTACCTCCAAGGACGAAGATGTTTCTGACAACAAGGTGTTATGAGGCCTCTGTGTGAGAGATTAGGGTTGGGCTGTGCGCAAGGCAGAGACTTTTGGCCAACATGCCTTTTGAAGTGAGTAATTTTAATTGCATCCCACAGTAAACATTTGAGTCTTGAGTGTAAAGCAGAAGTGGGTCTGATGGGGTGAAACCAATCAGGGGCAGGTCCCTATTCAAACACCATGTATCTCTGACAAACAGCCAGCCCGGTTCAAGTCACAGAAAAGTTTGGTCAGGCACCCCCAGAAGCCAGACAGAGGAGGCAGCACGGCGGGAAACCTCCGGTTCATCGTCCCAAGGCCCCATCCAGTATGCACCCTGCAAATGTTTCTTGAGGACCTGACCTAATAAGCACTAGACACTACTCGGAGGCAGCAGTGAACGAGACCAACCAACCGGGCTGGCCCTCACAGAGTGACATCCTATGGGGAGAAGGAACTATAAGCTAGTGACCAAAAACAGGCCCCAGAAAATGTCAGGCAGCGCCAAGTGTGGCAGGCAGATCAATGCAATGGTGAGATCTAAAGATGGAGACCCTCCCTCCAACGGGGAGCTCACAAGGTTGTCTCTCCTCAGTGTCCCGACTTGGAAGGCGGTCCAGAGAGTCCCAGTGAAACTGACCAGGAGCCCCTGGAGAAGGAGGTGGGGCAGGGAAGGGCATTCCAGACAGAGGATGCAGCCTGTGCAAAGGCCTGGAGCTTTTCACTGGGTTCGCTTCACAGCTTCCTCCCTCTGCCCTCTAAACCACTTAGGCCACTGGCTTATTTAGGGCAAACTAAGGGTGGAGGTCTGCTCTTACCCACCCTTGAGCACACACACATATGTGGTGTCCACACTGAGGAGCTAGGCATGCAGGGACGAGTTTTAACCTTGGAGAAAGAGGTCAATTCACTGAGGAGGGTGCCCACGCCTGGACACCCCTCTGAGACACCACGTCTTTTGAGCCAGCTCTACCTGCTGTGTGGCACAACCGGCTGTCGGGCAGTTGTCCCCTGGGCCCTGCCCCAGCCCGGCTGTCTGCCTCCAAAACACGCACTCCAGCCCAGGCTGCCTCTGGAATGTAGAGGAGGGGGTTCACGCAAAGGGGACAGCTTGATCTGCCTTCTGAAAAGTCAGTCCCCCCACCGAACCTAATGGGAGCCTTGTGCTAAGCTAAGCCCTCCTGGACTCCTCGACCCGGAGTTTGCCTAGCCGTCCCCAGTTCCCCAGTCTGCCTCTCCCAGGAGGGGGCCAGGATACAGAGGGCTCCCTGGCATCTGGCAACAGGGGTGCCTCTGGGCGGGTGCAGCTTTCTGGGAGCCCGTGGACTCCCCCACTCCCCACTCCCGTCTGAGAGGTTGGGCGCGGGTTGGCGATGGGGGTGGAAGGCTCCCGGGTCTGTGGATCTGCGGCGGGAGGGGCGGCTGATAACAGGAGTCCATGCATCACCCCCACCCCCAGGGGCGTTCCGGGGTGGATGGGGGCATCTAGTGCCCCGCGAAAGGAAGAGGAGGAGGGGGCGAGCGTGGAGATGAGTTGAGGCGCGGAAAGCAGCGCGCGCCCCTCTGACCAGCAGCTGGGGTGGGCGCCTTCCCGGGGCGCGGGAGCGTCCCCAAAGCCGCGGGGCGTCCGCAGAGGGTAGGAGGTCTGCCTTGCACCTCTCCACCGCGGAGCGTCCCGCATGTCCCCCCGCGCTGGTCCCCGGCCCCGGAACGGCGCGCGCCCCCTGCCCCGGAACGTCGCCCCCAGCCCGGCGGAGCGCCGGGAGCTGGGCCCAGGCGGCGGGAGGAGGGCGAGCGGGTCCGGGACTCGGGCCTCGGTGGCCGCGCCGCCCCGGGGGAGCCGGAGCCTAGCTGGCCGCCGCCCGCGCGCACTCACCAAGCCCGCTGAGCTCTTCCTCGCACGAGTACCAGATGCCGGTGTGGAAATTCCTGAAGAGGAAGCGGTCGTCGCCGGTCTCCCAGCTGTAGAGCGCGCCGCCAGGGGGGCCGTTCCCCGCGGCGGTGGCGGCGGCGGCAGCGGGGGCGGCGGTGCCGTTGGCCGTGGCGTTGGCGCCCGAGTTGGGGCAGTTGGCGCGCCCGCCCTGGCCGCAGCCCGGCTTGGGGACCCGCTGCGTGCCCTGGCACCAGTGCGTGGTGAGGAACGCGGTGGTGGCGAACAGCAGCGCCAGCAGGTTCAGGGCCACGGCCAGGAGCGCTCGGCCGCGGCGGCTCGTCTTCATGCCGCCCGCGCCGCCGGGACGGGACCGCACCGCCGGGGAGCTCCGCGCGCGAAGTTGGCAGCCGGCGCCCCGCGTCAGCGGCCGCTGCCCGCCGCGCCCCGGGGCTCTGGCGCCTGCGATCGGCGGCGGCGGACGCGGCGCGGGCCCATGCCCCCCCAACCCCGGGGTGGGGGCGCGGCGCAGGGGGCGCGGGGGGCGCGCGGGGCGGGCGGGCGGGCGGGGAGGGCGGCGGCGGAGGAGCGGCTCCGGCGCGCCCGGAGCCCGGAGCGCGAGTGCACCTCGGCAAGGAGCCGCTGGCGCCTGGCAGCGGCCACGGCGCAGGGACGCGCGCCCCTCCGTGGGGAGACACCTGCAGGCGGCCGGCGACACTGTTCCGGCGCCCGCCCGCACGGGGAGAGGGGGCGCCCCACGCCGGGCGCGGGCGGGGGCCTGGGAGTGGAGGGACGCCCCTGAAAGAAACCCGAAACAGGGTGAGGGTCTGAGACGCAAGGAGAATCCCAGGCAAGGCGCTCCTGAGAAAAATCCCCACGGCGGACGTGGGGCAACAAAACCCACCGGGAGCGGGCATCTCATGAGACCCAGAGAGGCCCTGCCCTAGGAAACAAGGGCAGAGGCTGCTGGGGTCCCCCAAGAGGGACATAGACCAGCAGGACCCTGCCCCAGAAGGGGATCCCCAAAAGGAGCCCCGCACCAGACCCTGAGAAAGGAGTTTTCCAAAGAGTCTAAACAGCAGAGCCTGCAGGGCTTCCCACAGCCAGGGAGCTGCAAGACCCCCTGGGTAAGACACCCCATGCTGGACCTGGAGTGTCAGGATCTGTCAGGAGGCGCCCCTCCTGGAGTGTGGGGTTATAGGGTTTGAAACGTTTTTCTATCTCCTGGGTGTCACCTCCAGCATCTGGGAAGAGCTCCCTTCCAAGGATGAAACTGTCATCTGGGCTCCCAACCACAGCATGCAACTGCAGGAAGAGTGGAAACGGGGTACCCCAGACAGCCCACTGCACCCACCTGAGATCCCAAACAGCAGAGCCCTAGCAGGGCCCATGCCGACCACAAAGTTACTGCAGCTACTAGGCAGTGGTGCCCTGCAGGGGCTGCCAACCCTGCTCACATGCACACCATGTGAATGTGAGTAGAATCTTCAAGATTGGGGTGGGGGCAGGGTGGTCAAACATACTGACTTTGGGATCAAGTAAATCTAGGGCTTGACCAGCTGTGTGGCTTTGAACAAGTCACTTACCCTCTCTGAGCCTCAATTTCCATAACTATAAAAAAGGGAGGACCCCCCCACCCACCTTCAAAGTATATCACAGTGGGCTGCTGTAATGAGATCATGGCTGCAAAAAGCATTTGGCACACAGTAGACTCAATAAACGTTAATAATTCACTGTTACTAACATCTGAACCAAGATCAGTTGACCAAACTCAGACAAACCTCTTCGGACTCTCTTGTGCAACGTGGGAACTGTGTGCACTCCTGTCCCCAGCTCTGCTCTAAGATGACCACGCTCCCTGAACTCCCTTCGTGCTGCACAGCCCTTACTGCCCAGATGCTCAGGGCGTGCAACAATTAATTGCATGTTGATTGTAAGAGCTCATTTGAATTCTGCCCAAGCTGAGAACTGCTCCAACAAACCCCGGCTTGCCGAGTGGCGGGCCTTGCAGAATTCAAGGTGAACCGATTATGAATTGCCTTACTCCTGTGGGTGAGCCAGCACTCACTGTCAGCTGCTGCTACTCTGCCTGCGGGTAGGTGAGAGGAAAGCGTTGTGGGCAATGTCCCTGGTAAAAACAGGCATGAAGGATGACCAAGGGTCTCCAGACTTGCTTTTAGAGCCCTTTTCTGGCACTGTGCAAGAGGTTCTCAACTATTTTGAAAGAGAGGACCTCCATGTAATAATGGTGGCATTGAGAGTATTGGTTGACAGAGAAAATACATCATCACCAAACAGCTATAAAGAATCCAGTAGCACTTTTTTTTTTTTTTTTTTTTTTTTTTTTTTTTTGAGGTAGAGTCTCACTCTGTCGCCCAGGCTGGAGTGCAGTGGTGCGATCTCAGCTCACTGCAACCTCCGCCTCCTGGGTTCAAGCAATTCTCGTACCTCAGCTTCCCAAGTAGCTGGGATTATAGGCACTCACCACCACGCCCAGCTATTTTTCATATTTTTAGTAGAGAAAGGGCTTCACCATGTTGGTCAGGCTTGTCTTGAACTCCTGACCTCAAGTGATCTGCCCGCCTCGGCCTCCCAAAGTGCTGGGATTACAGGCATGAGCCACTGCGCCCGGCCTCCAGTAGCACTTTTAAACGGGCATGCGGTATTCATCATGAGTGTCTGTGCACCTCTGAAAACCGGTCCCTCGATGTGTGCTCAACAGGGTACTTCTTTGGACTTGAGGCTGTTGTTGGTGTGCATGTGAGCAGGGCTCAGTGACCTACAGCTGGGAACCCTGTCCTGCAGGTTTGAAGCCAGGAGAGCCCAGGTGAGATATGTCTCAGGGACCATGTCTCAGGGATCATGTTTCTGAGATATGATTTGAAATTTCCATCTAAGATACTCCTCCACTAACTGAATACTCAGCACTGGAGAGAAAAGAGAATGTGAACAAAGTTCGTAAGAAAGAACACTCAGAACTTTGGAAGGCCGAGGTGGGCAGATCACCTGAAGTCAAGAGTTCGAGACCAGCCTGGCCAACATGGCGAAACAGCATCTCTACTAAAAATACAAAAATTAGCCTGGTGGGGTGGTGCACACCTGTAATCCCAGCTACGCAGGAGGCTGAGGCAGGAGAATCACTTGAACCCGGGAGGCGGAAGTTGCAGTGAGCTGAGATCATGCCACTGCACTCCAGACTGGGCGACAGAGCAAGACTTCTGTCTCAAAAAGAAAAAACAAAGAATATTGCCGAATATGCAGGGGTAAAAGCCAGGGAGAGCAATTCAGCAGGGAGGGATCAAAGTGGGGATGGCTTCAAGGAAGGCCTCACTGAGAAGGGGACACTGGAGCAAGGATTTGAAGGACATGTAGGGGCAAGCCATGAGGACATCTGGGGGAATGGAAATTCCAGGCAGAGGGATGGCCAGTGCAAAAGCCTCGAGGCAGGAGCCTGTCTGGCCCTTTGGGGTGGGGGGACAGTGTGGTTGGAGCTGAGTGAGCAAAGGGCAGAGGAAGAAAAAAGGGGGCCAGAGGTGCTAGGGGAGGGGACAGATCACCTAGGAATGCAGAGGCTACACAAGGACTCAGGTATTCACTCTGAGCAAGGTATTCACGCCGGCGGAGGGTCTGGGCAGAGGGGACCCATGTCTGGTTTCGTGTCTAACAGGACCACGCGGGCTGCTATGGGAAGAAGGGTGGAAGCAGAGAGACCAGACAGAGGCTGGAGAGTGGATTCCAGTGCATGAGGCCAGGGACTCAAACCAGTGTGGGGACAGGCATGGTGGAGGTTCTGGGTCTTTTTTAAAGGCAGCTCCAGGCCAAGTGCGGTGGCTCACACATGTAATCCCAGCACTTTGGGAGGCCCAGGAGGGAGGATCACTTGAGTCCAGGAGTTCAAAAGCAGCCTGGGCAACAGAGTGAGACCCTGTCTCTACAAAAAAATTAAAAATGAGTTGGGTGTGGTGGCGTGTGCCTGTAGTCTCAGCTGCTTGGGAGGCTGAGGCAGGAGGATCACTTGAGCTGGGCAGGTTCAAGGCTGCAAAGAGCTGTGATTGGACCACAGCACTCCAGCCTGGGTGACAGAGTGAGACCTTGTCTCTAAAAAAAAAGAAAGTGAGGCCGGGCGCGGTGGCTCAAGCCTGTAATCCCAGCACTTTGGGAGGCCGAGACGGATGGATCACGAGGTCAGGAGATCGAGACCATCCTGGCTAACAGGGTGAAACCCCGTCTCTACTAAAAAATACAAAAAACTAGCCGGGCGAGGTGGCGGGCGCCTGTAGTCCCAGCTACTCGGGAGGCTGAGGCAAGAGAATGGCGTAAACCCGGGAGGCGGAGCTTGCAGTGAGCTGAGATCCGGCCACTGCACTCCAGCCTGGGCAACAGAGCGAGACTCCGTCTCAAAAAAAAAAAAAAAGAAAGTGAAATAAAGGCAGATCCAGCAGGATTTGCTCACGGATGGAACACGCAGAAGTATGACTCCGATGCGTTCAGCAGGAGTTCCCACAGGGACGGAGTTGCTATTGGCTGAGTCAGAAGCAGACCTGTGAGGCACAGGGAAAATCCAAAATTATGGCCAAGTTTGTACTGGGCCTTTCCGGCGAGCTGAAGACAGTGAGTAGAGATTACACCCCTGGAGGGACCACTTCAGGTGTCTACACAGCCTTTGGAAGTGAATCCAAACTCATCAGCAAAACCCTTGGATCGCCACAGGGATTTTTATCCCAAATAGTGATATAGTTGGAATTACCTTGGGCGTGGAGGGAAGTGGTTGCAGGGAGAGGTAACGGGATTTGTTTAGGAGGCGAGAAATGTGAGCCTAAGTCCCTGGTTCCCTCCTCTCTGGCTCACTGCCACAGGTCAAGGCCTTACTGCAGCCTCCTGTCCCCATGCTGTCCCTCGGCCACCCCAACCCTGCACCTGCCTCCAGGGAGACCAGCCCCACACACCTCCACCGAACCCCCTCCAAATGCTCCCACCGCCTGCCCTGCAGGACAAAAGCCTCAATGACTGAGTTTGCCCTTCCAGGTCCTAGTGACTGGCTCATGTCCACGTCTCCAGCCCCTTTGCCCACTCCTGTACTGCCTGCCACAGCTGCACCAAATCATCGTGCAGTGTCGGACCACCTGGTGCTCACACTGTACCCAGGCCTCTGCACACGTTCCTTCCTCTCCATGAAACGTGTTTGCTCTCCTTCCTCTGCGTGTCTTTCAGGGTGCTGTTGGAAGCCTCATGCCGCCGCAGACTCCTTCCTGACCCCATCCCACGTCCTGGCAGCCGGTCATCCCTCCTCTGATCTTCAATATCATGAATCACGCTGAACCGTGATGTCTGTTTTCACACCTGTCTCCCGCACGTGCCTGGGGACCCCTCCAGCTCACCCCACATGGCACCTGCAGACCAAATCTGGCCCTTAAGCCTATTTTGTTTGA